CACTCTTTCAAGTTACAACATTCTGTGATTCTCAACAACTTCAGAAGTAGATTATTCAATCCTTCCGTGCTATTTTCTGACCTGAACCCATGGCTGGAAAATCCTTCCAAGGAAAGTCACTTAGTGTGTTCTGATCTTTCCCCTTCATCCTCTCCAGTGATCCCTGGAGTACACATCAAGCTGTCGGCCTGCAGGTTGCAGAAATGCCCAAGAAAGAAAGGACCTACAGAGAGCCCCAGTCACAGTGTAGTTTTAAAATCCAAATTAATCCTGGGACCACTGAATGTAGGCAATCCCTTTGGGGGAATTATCACTTCTTGGTGAGAATAAAACGAAAAAAAAGACGTTAAAAGAGTTAAGGAGACAGAACAAAGAGGCTTATGGAGAATTTGAGGCTGGGTGGGGAGAGAAGAGGACAAGGAAATACTAGTTACTCATTGATTAGGGTCTCCTAAAAGCCCAGAATGAATTCTTTTAGGGGTTACTCAGATCCTTAAACAGAGCACAAATAATTTTAAAAGTTGGAAACATTAGCACAGCACTTCTAAAATCATATAACCCTGAGACTTGTTTAAAATGCAGATTCCTGGAACTCAAAAGGATTCTGGATCCCCTAGTTTTAAGCCCACCAATAGCATTGTTGGGATGTGGTGCAGGTGATTTTGATACATGAGACTTCCAAACAACGCTTTGAAAGACACTGCATCTGAGAATGTATCAAGCAGGATTCTTAGTTGCAAGCAAAGGCACCGACTCTTGAATCCACAGAATGATAATGGAAAGGTCACAAATTTCCAAGAAGGCCAGAGAAATTGGGCCTGGAGGCTACATACCCAGCAACATGACCCCAGATCACACAGCAGCACTGGTCTGCTACCTGTCACTGATGGGCGGGGGAGCCAGCGGCTTCCATCACCACCACCAGCTGCTGTCTGGGAAACCACCTGTGGAGATGCCACATATTTTTTCATGTCACTAGTTTCTGTTTCAAAATATGAGATGGAGGTGCCTGACTGGCAGAACCTAGGTCACATGCCTGCAGCCAGGCTGCAAAGGTGGTTAAAAATGCAAATATCTAGCACTTACACTTCCATAGGAGGCAAAGTGGGATGTGCCAGGTGAGAAAAGGTAGATTCGGGGCTGGGCGGCCAAAAACAATGGTAAGTGCACAGAAAAATCAAACTTTTCCACAATGAGCTTCTAGATGTATAAAATGCTTAATTCAATATATCTTGAACACCAGAATTTATTAAATTCCTATAGATGAAAACCAATAGTTAAATCTCTCTTTAACTCTATTAACTCCCACACACAAATTTATTTATAATTCAGAAACAGAAACCAACTCCCCTCAAATCTAATAAGAAAGAAGTTTATACATTGGTCAGTCAACTGCTTCTTTTTGGACCATTAACTACTCAGTGGCAGTGGTCCTGCCTTAATTCCTTTATTTTTCAATCTGCAGTCCTAGCACTTATCCCCTGCAATATAAACAATTACCAATGTCAGCATAAACAGGTTATGTTCTCAAGACCAGTAGATCTTGAGACCAGTAGATGTCAAAGTGTGATACAGCGTCCCCAAGGGGTCTGCAAGGTCAATATTATTTTCGTAATACTACTAAAACATTATTTGCTTTTTTTACCATCCATCTGTATAGTGGAGAGTTCCATGGGGTACAAGTTAATGGCTATGCTCACTTGTATCTTCTTGTAAATGTCTGCTACAATTTTTAATTTGGTAAATATAGATATAACCCACAGAAACAAAGCTTTTTAGTGCCCTTAGTAATTTTTAAGAGTGTAAAGTGGTCTCATGACCAAAAAATTTGAAAACCCGCTGCTCTAGATCAACCTCGCAAACAAACAAAACAGAACCTCGCCATGTTGCTTCAATCTAACCAGAAATATAGCGGGCCATGAGAATCTAAAAGACGAAAAAATAATGGTCAAGTATCACCTTCCACTTGTACTACTAAGGTCTCACTAAAATAATTAGAAAACTGAGGGCACAATAAGAGATATCTTACCTCACAGAACCCAAGACCCACAAGAGCAAATGTGGCAGACTGCTATATAATCTGCAATACCCATTCTCTTTTTCTAATATAAAAATATAATTTTTTAGTTGATACATAGTCTGGATGTCTCTATGTCTCAACTGCCCCCAAGGAAATGTGGAAGCACCTCTATGATTCTGCCCTTTAAAACCAGCAGCAAGTAATGCCAAGAACAATATCTAACGTGTTAACACAGCGTTTCTTTTGTGACCTTTTTAGCCTTAATTATTAATTCCCTTAATTTTCCTTCTCTTTCTTTTTTTTCTTAAATGCTTTTTTTGGGGGGGCGGGGGTGCTAAGCTCAGAATCCTGACTTACTTGCATACACAGAGCCAGATTTTCCAGAATACAAAGACTAACCAGGCAGGAAAGAGTCTCCAGAGAAACCGGGCACACAGGACAGCCAGTGAGACCATCGCCCAAACGTGTCGTTTTCTCACTGGTACTCCTTTCAGGCTGAGTGCTGTAGGGAACTGGATAAGCAGGGGCAGCAGATGAGAGAGGTCAGAACACCTCATGCCACATGCTGTAGTCTCATTTCTAATTGGCCAAAAGCAGCCTTTCTTCTCCCCACTGGGTTAGAGTTCAGGTTTTCCTGGAAGAACATGGTGCAATTTACTTAGTTGGAGATAAAGCAAATGATCATAACCTAGACTGTGGGTTGCAGTGACCTAATCTGATTTAGATAAAAGGAGGTTAAAGGGTCACTCCCACGCTTTAAATGACAGAGGCAGAAAGGAGTATCTCCTGAGTCACAGGAGGCTTACAGATTGGGACCTGCTTCAGGAAAAAAAAAATGACCTAAGCCCATCCTTGCTGTTCATTTGGAAGGATTCAGATGTTAAAACCAAAGATTATTTTTTTATACTCAAGAGATTATTTTTATATAATATTTGTAAATCAGAAATTATCATCTGCTGTGACCCAGATGATAACATTATTTGTACTAAAATATTGATAAATATGAAACTTGATCCGAATATTAGAAATAGCTTTTATTGTCTTTTTTATATACTTGTAAGTACTACATGTGAGTACCTGCTAGGTATCAGGCATTTGTCTCTTATTCCTAGAAGGATATCCCAAGTTAAACATACCTCAGCAGTGTGGTTAAGATTAGATCAATCAGCAAGAATGCAGTTGCTACAGAAAAGATTATTAAATAAAACACCATGCCCAGGGCTTCCCTGGTGGCGCAGTGCTTGAGAGTCCGCCTGCCGATGCAGGAGACGCGGGTTCGTGCCCCGTTTCGGGAAGATCCCACGTGCCGCGGAGCGGCTGGGCCCGTGAGCCATGGCCGCTGAGCCTGCGCGTCCGGAGCCTGTGCTCCGCAAATGGGAGAGGCCACAACAGTGAGAGGCCCGCATAACGCAAGGAAAAAAAAAATTAAAAAAAAATAAATAAATAAAACACCATGCCCAATATATGTTTGTTTTTTTTTTTTTTTTGCGATACGTGGGCC